ATGAGATCGTAGGCCACAGGGTTGCTGCCACATGGGAATGCAGTGCCAGGATCGCCAGGTTGTTCAAGAGAGAACGAAATTCAGATGGTCACACTGGATTTTTTCACCCTGATTTTTAAGAGTTATTAGCCAATTCAGAAAAAGAAATTTAAACATAACATGGATAGAACAAAACAATTCTTCGGGCCAAAGGTGACCCATCAACCATCAGTATAAAAGCTCTCCTCTCACCTGTAAGCGTTATGCCAGAGCCTAGCACTGGGCCTGGAACACAGCAGGCATCAGCGTTGGCTGGGTGGGAGGATGGATGGATGCATGGTTGGGTGTATGGATAGCTGGATGAGTAAGTGAAGAGAAAAAAATACACAGGGAAGATAACCACATTTAACTCAGAAAGTGAGAAATTCGAGAGTCAATTTAGTGTGGAAGTAGGGAAGCCAGACACTTGAAGCTGAGGGAACAATTGAGAGTTCATGATGAGTTTGGGAAAAGACAAGTCAGTCCAATGTGACTGGAGCCAAGTGTGGTGCATCTGAGGCCAGAGAGCGAATGATTGGGAAGACCATGCTAAGGAGTATGTACTTAGTGCTCTAGACAATGAGGAATCATTTCAGGGTTTTGGAAATGGAGTGGTAAATTCTTTAATACACCCTACACCTGAATCTTTTTGTTTATTTGTTTGTTTTTCAGATGGCCGTTTCAAATATTAGATATGGAGCAGGAGTTACAAAGGAAGTGGGCATGGCAAGTATTTGAGATGTCTCCAGTCTCCTACTGTAAATGTTACATATCTTGTAAAACAAGTGCTGACAACAATCAAGTCCTTTATTTTTTAAAATGTACAGGGTTAAGTTTGCCAGAAGAGTTTATTACAGTTCTAGTGCAATCGAATCTAACTTATAATTTTTTTTGTAGGACTTACAAAACATGGGTGCTAAAAATGTTTGCCTGATGACAGACAAGAACCTCTCCCAGCTCCCTCCTGTCCAAGCAGTTATGGATTCCCTAGTGAAGAATGGCATCCGCTTTCAGGTTTATGACAATGTGAGGGTGGAACCAACAGATACGAGGTATTTTTGTATTGTTGTTGTCATTTCCTTTAAGCAGAAGCCAATCCAGCACTATGGATTAAAACTTGCCCCAGGCCTTATTTAATGGCATGGTAATTTATATCTGAAAAATAGACATAATGGTTTTTATTTTCCCTTCTCCGAGCTTCAAGGAAGCTATTGAGTTTGCCCAAAAGGGAGCTTTTGATGCCTACGTTGCTGTGGGTGGCGGCTCCACCATGGACACCTGTAAAGCTGCTAACCTGTACACGTCCAGCCCTCACTCTGATTTCCTAGATTATGTCAACGCCCCCATTGGGAAGGGAAAGCCTGTGTCTGTGCCTCTGAAGCCTCTAATCGCAGGTAAAGACTATTTATTTCTTTGTTTTATTTTGCAATTGGCCAAAGGCCTTAGGAGAGATGCAAGCCAGTCCTTTAAAGCTTTCTGAATTGTTCATTTCAAAGCAATGCTTTGTTTGGAGATCAAAATAGATAGCAATTCATTCATTTTAAAATTCTGATCTTTGTTTTCAGAATTGGTTAGAGACAATTTGGGTCAGTGGTAGGAACGTTTGCAGATCTAAGATACGGGGTCACCATGTGGAAGAGGATGAGGGTCATCGTTTACATATGATTAGATCCCTCTGTTGGCAGGTTTGTCCTCTAAACCCCTCTGCTTTGTACCATTTTGCAAGCCGCTGTGGACTTCAAGAAGAACATTGGCTGTTATTTTTCTGGTGATGACTCAACCCTTTCTTCCATATAATGGCTCTTCAGCTGACCTCAGGCTTTGTCTCTTCCCTGGGACATGTGGCCAGCATGGCCACATCGCTCTTGGGACATCTGCTGTGTGGCTGCCCAGGGCACAGACATAGAAATTCAAATCAGAACAGCTCATTTGTTTCCACAGGGAACCTTGGGGTTTTCTGGTCTTTTCTTTTCTCCCATTTTTAGGGCTGCTAGCATATCACTATTTGAAGTTTCATAGCTAAAATGCACTAACTGGTACCTGGGAAGTATCCTCAGTTTAAAGTTTTATCCTGCCCAACCCCCCCACCCAACTGTGAAGGGCATTGTGACGCGGCAGATGAGCTACTCTGCCGTGAATGGGGAGCAGCGGGGAGCGCGTAATTGGCGTCTGGCAAATGGAACCCTCTGGTGAAACTGTGTCAGCAGCACACAGAGGGGTGATTAGTAAAGTTTAGAAACTTGACAGAACTACAAAACCACAGAGCCCAGCAAAGGCAGAGCGTTCCTGTGCTTGCTGCCAAGAGGGAATAAAGATGTCTTTGAAAGACGGCAAATATGTATGAGTTTTGTTGCGGGAGGTGCCGAGCAGCCTGCGTTTGAATACCCAGCTGCAGCTGCTTAAGCTCCGGCACTAGAGGAGCCCGAGGTTCCCAGAACTCATTGCTGTTAATGCGGACACAGACATCACACGTATGTATGAATAACATAGATATATGTTATCACAGACACAGATATCATAAATGCTTGTTAACACAGAGAAATCACACATATGTTAAATACACATACATGTTAATGCAGACACAGACCACCATACACATTAAACACACGTGTTCATGCAGAAACGGACATCATACATATTAAACACATAGGCATGCTAAACAGGCATGTGTGTTAATGCAGACATGGATGTCATACATACATGTTAACACAGATACAGAGATCACATATGCGTATTAAATACAGATGCATGTTAATACAGACACAGACATCACACATATTAAACACACACATTCATGCAGCACAGTCATGATACATGTTAAACATACATATGCATTAATGTAGACACAGACATCAACTGATATGTTAAACATACATGTGTGCTAATAAAGATATACACCTCACACATGCCTAGTAATGCAGTCACAGACATCATGCATGTTACATACATGTCCATACAGATACATATTTCAGGCAAGCAAGAGGGTCAACAGAACTTCCTTCTCTAATTTTGTTCTTTATTCCTAAGGCTGAATTAAATATCTCCACTGACCTTTATTTAGACGCTTTATTAACATTAATATTACTTTGTTCAAGTTCCAACTACCACAGGAACTGGGAGTGAAACAACAGGGGTTGCCATTTTTGACTATGAACACTTGAAAGTAAAAACTGGTAAGAACTTTGCCTATAATTTTTTTAAAATTCTCTCTCATACTTTTCAATATCCTTCTCTTTAATCCTAATATTTAAAAGTCAAGGAGTCACTCTGGGAGGCCGAGGCGGGTGGATCGCTCAAGGTCAGGAGTTCTAAACCAGCCTGAGCAAGAGTGAGACCCCGTCTCTACTAAAAATAGAAAGAAATTAATTGGACAACTAAAAATATATAGAAAAAATTAGCCAGGCATGGTGGCGCATGCCTGTAGTCCCAGCTACTCGGGAGGCTGAGGCAGGAGGATCGCTTGAGCCTAGGAGTTTGAGGTTGCTGTGAGCTAGGCTGACACCACGGCACTCACTCTAGCCAGGGCAACAAAGCGAGACTCTGTCTCAAAAAAAAAAAAAAAAAAAAGTCAAGGAGTTATGGAGTTAAGGAAAGGGTACGTACATATGCACATTTTCTTTCTTTTTCGAAGTACATATAAAATATGAAGCAGTCTAATAATCTTTCTTTTTGAGAACTACCTACAAAAGCATATTGAAATGCCATGAACCTTAGCTGTCCATTTTCTGCCCAAGTTAGTGACTGCGGATCCATGATAAATAGGTGTTTCCTCTCTCTGACATCTTTTTTACATTTCGAATCAATTTTATTAAGATGTGATTTTATATCATAAAATGCACTCATTTTAAGAATCCAGTTTGATGAGTTTTGACAAATATATATGCCCATGTAACTACCAATCCAATCAAAATGTAAAACATTCCCATCACTCTGGAAAGTTCCCTCATGCTCCATCCCAGCTGATCCCTCCGGCCCTATTGCCAGGTAACTTCTGTTCTGCTTCTGTCTTCTTGGTCATTTTCATGCTCTCTTCTTCTCACTCACTGACTCTGAGATAACGTGATAGAGATGTCCCTGTCCTTGAATCTGGCTCAGTTTTTTGCTTTCAGCCCTTTGTAGCAGAATAAATTGGCATTCAACTGCACATTTATAGTAACTTCTCTTTTTAAGATAATTTAATGTAATTAAATTTAATTAAATGTGATGTAATTGAATTACATTATCCTTCGACATTGTTAAAGACAATAATAGTAGCTATCACTTATATTCTACCGTACAGTTTTAAGAAGACTTTTACATAATATTATCTCATTCGATCCCTGCAACAGCTCTGTGAGGGATGGAAGCCCTGTATTATTACAGTCTAATCTTACAGAGAACTCAGAGGCTAACTGACTTGCCTGAAGACACAAAGTAAGTTACAGAGCAGGGACTGGTAGTGATGTGCTAGTAAACCAGCTCTCTGGAATTTAATAATAAACAAATAAGCCCTGATTCATAGTGTTTGCCAATTTCTGTAGTGTAAATACTTCCACCATGGCCAATGATGTCACTCATCCACGAGTTGAGAAAAGTTGCATACACTTGGCTCTTGGGAACCTTCAGGAGGCAGCCCAGCACAGCACTGAAACCCCAGGCTTCCGACTCCAAATCTTTTTCCACTGCTCCTTGCTGCCTGCCTACATGAAAATGAATCTTTTCTCATATTTTTTATATTTTCAGGGTGATTTATTATCCTCAAGTTATTTAATTTTTATTTTATTTTTTATTTTATTATATTTGTTTATTATTATTTATTTTATTTTTTGTTTTTTTAAACCATCATATCTTAGCCTCTATTACAAATCTTAGCCTCTATTACAAACTACCATATCTTAGCCTCTATTACAAATCCTTATGTTCTAGGCATTGCTTCAAGAGCCATCAAACCCACACTGGGACTGATTGATCCTCTGCACACCCTCCATATGCCTGAACGGTTGGTCGCCAACAGTGGCTTCGATGTGCTTTGGTAGGTACCAGTGCCATTTAGAGGGGCTTGCTCAGTACTGGGTCTATGTACAGTATTCTGTTGCTCAATGCACTTGCTAAGTGTTTGTTGATTAGCATCCCACAACACCCCTGGCTTTGGCTGTCATTCTCCCCTTTCCTAGGTAAAAACATTGAAGCTGTAAAGGATGGTGATTAGGTGAGGTCCGGTGTAGGCCACACACCAGCAATTCAGGATGGACCACCCCAGCCACAGTCGCGGCCACGGGGACGCAGCTAAAGGAGTAGTTTGAGCTGGTATGCAGCGTCTCAGGAACACACCACCTGCCTTTACGGCCACACTAACTAGGGAACGCCCCAGGCTGCACACCACAGAAGAGGGCAGGGAAGGGAGCTGACACCTCCAGGGCACGCGCAGACCATGCACACTGTGTCACCACCTGACATGCATCGTCACTTCACCGCAGGGCTGTGTGGTACAAGACCTTCGTTTTATTAAAAAAGAAAACTGGGTTTGAGATGTTTGGTATCTTGCCTAGAGTCTTACTGCAGGCTGTCTTGGCTTTAGCCACTATGTGCCGACCACAACAGACCTCCCTCCTGGGCCCCGGGCCTCACGGAGGTCCCACGTGCACCTCACATGCAGCACGTCCCGAGCTATCCTAGTCCATCCACAAGCACATGCACATTTTTCCACATTTTAACATCTCTGAAATCAGGATATATCTTAAAGTCTATGGCATGATGGTACATTTTTATCCTCAGTGGTACATTTTTAAAAATGGTGCATCTTATAATGCATGGCATCTTAAATTTGATGAAATCTGCTAATTCACTGCATCCTCCCACACCCCACAGCTTCTCCTGAGTCCCCAGCTCAGCAAGTGTCAGGACTCAATATGAACTTCTCCCTTCTCTCATGCCCATGCCCGGCCTGCAGATCCTATCTCTCGTCCTGCTTGAATCTGTCTTCCATCTGCTCCCTATTCCCAAGCTTCACTGCCCTGCCTCGGTTCAGTCCCACCCCAGCTCTTGCCTGGACTATTGCCATAGTCTCCTCATTGGTCTCACCACTTCCCTCCCATCATCCTCCTGTCTGTCCTCCACACTGGCCTCCACAAGCTTCCAGAATGCGATCTGACCACCACACACATGCACGCGGGCACACACACAGACACACCTCTCTACCTTGCGAATCCTTCAGTGGCTTTCCACACCTACTGTCCAAAAGCCAAACTCCTTAGGCCTTGAAATGTCCCCAACATTCAGTTCTTTATCTGCTTGGAGAATCATCTTTCAATTCCACGGGAGCATCCCCTCCTTGACAGAGCCTTTACTGACCCTCCTTGCCCCTCTCCTCAAGTACAAGTGACCACTTGTCCTTCGTTCTCGCCCAGGTATTGTTTCTGAGACACTCTGTCTTCAAGTGCCTGTCTCCCCACTGCATTGTGACCTTGATGATAATCAGGCCATCATACTCACCTCTCTATCTCTGCCTCTTGGCACAGTGACTGTCACATCACAGGTGCTGAATTAGTCCCTGTTGAATGAAGTTCACACAGGCAGGCAGTGACAGAGTTAGGATCCACATCCAGGTGTGTCCAAGTCTGTGGTCTGCTTTCTTCACTGTGTTATGCTGCCTGCCAAGAGACTGTTGACAATCGTGTCCAACTCCTTTCTGTTCAATATCGTTAGAACTTTGATGAGCTGTCCCCTAATAATCTGGAAATAAAGGAAATAAGATTACCCTCCCTAACTGTAAACTGCATAATAAGTACATCATGGCCCAAAGCAGTCACTTTAGGTGAATGATTCAGAGGCCCAAAGACTTCACGGTCAATCAAGGCGGAAGACGGGCTCAGAAGGAAGGAGAATGATGGCAGTTGCTCTTCTAGCTACTGTCTGAGGGAGAAAACACCTGGCCCTAGGAATTTGGCTCAGTGGCCTGTTCTAAAGGCGGACAAGCTGTGTATTAAACCTTCGAGGTATTCCCCTCGCTAGGACTCCATGGGCATGCTGACCATAAATTGGCCATCCTGGGCTTGACCATAAGGAGAGAAGACTCAGGTGTCTGTCCCACTCAACAGTTATGCTTCTCGTTGTAAATTAATACTATGGCTTCCGGCTTTCCACATAGTTTCTGTGAGCTCAGCTCAGCAAGCCTGCCCTTGAGAAAGAGATCTGCTCTTTGATTCAGAATCTAGATGCAATCTAGATGTGCTGCAAGGCTGGAGTCAGATTCTGGACCACAGCTGACTCAGTGGGGAGGCCACCCTGTCCTCCCCATGTGGACACCTCATTCTTGCATTGTTCATGCATTCCCTGTTTAGAACAACAAAGCCATAGCATCCCTCTACCAACTGCTTTTCAAAAATTTTTCTAATGCTTTGTTCAAAAAATAGTTATCTGCTTCTCACATGTAGAAGAAAGTAAATCCTTCATTCTAAGACTGAAAACTCTAACTCATGCAAAACATAGTTCCCGTTACATTGTGTTCCCACTACATCATTGACCTGGATGATGAGGGCTCTTCTCGTCTTCTGCAGTTGATGAGCTGGAACGCGTGGCAGGCCAGCAGGTGGAGGTGGCTCTGTAGCTTAGTTCTTGAAATCACCAACTCTGAGATTCAGGTGCATAAGAAGAAAGGATCAGATTTTTTTTCAGGCCAGGAATTAATAATAATAGTGAATAATAAGCTTTTCAATGAGTCAGGCACTATTCTAAATACATGTGTCAAGTCATTTCATTTTCACAGCTGCACCATGAAGGAGGACTGTCATTTATCCCTGTCCTAGAGTCACAGGAAGGGTAGTGCCTCCTGCCAGGTCCACAGCAGGATGGTCCAGTGCCAGGGTTTACATCTGGGCAGCTGACCCCAAAGCCTGTGTTCTCGCCCACTACACTGTACTCTCAGTAGGAGTCTAGTCTAACTATGACCCTCCTTTGGTAATATAATTGATCAATGCAAGTTATAAAATGGTAAATATATTCTACAAGGAAGTCATTTTTTAGATTAAGTGCTTTTTTGTGGCTCAAGTGTATAATTCAGCATCAAAATGATTTATTTACACTGGAATGGGCTATATATGATCTTATACATACTGGTCAAAAACACTGTAGTGCTGTTAATGTAAACTTGAGTCTATTAATTTCTATAATAAGCAATGACTGTCGTGGATGGGAGGCTGGCTGGCGGAACGCATTGTGATCATCAGCATTAGACAGCAGCATATCCGCAGCACAGCAAGTACCAAACGTTTCCACGACAGTTTGTAATCCTAATGGAGGGAAGGAGGAAGACCACACTTTCAATCTGTGCATTTTAAATATTTCCTGTTAGCCATGCTCTGGAGTCATACACTGCCCTCCCCTACCACATGCGGAGCCCCTGCCCTTCAAATCCCATGATGCGGCCGGCATACCAGGGCAGCAACCCAATCAGCGACCTCTGGGCAGTCCATGCGCTGCGGATCGTTGCTAAGTATATGAAGAGGTACGTCACCCCGAAGGGGATAGAAACAGAACAGAAAACCCACATTTTGTCTTCACATGAAGGATAATGTGCCTGATCCTGAAATGTCCCGAGCAGGTCTTTTCACCAGAAGATCAGTCTGTGGACCTACAGAAGCACCAGACACCAGCAGCCTCTGGAGGGATCAGAGGACTGAGCACATGAGAATTGGGTCCTTCAGCCTGAAAAGGCAAAGGCTGCCCGGAGACAAAATAGGAGTCCCTAATTTATGAAGGATGCAGATAAAATAAATGGAAGAGTGTTCATAAAGCCTCAAACCAAAGCTAGGATGAGGGGAGATGTCCCTTGTGATTTGGCTACCCAGGGCGGAACTGAGAACCACACAGGCAGACGGTGGCTGCGCCCACCCAGGCCCTGTCCAAAGGCCCTGTCCATATCCACTGAGTGAACGCACATGAACTAAATTTAAGAAACCATGGAAGAGACTGTGAGATTGCTGTCTCAGGAGATATAAAAGGCAGAACATGTAAAAGGATTCCTGAAAGGTTGTGAAAGATTTATGACTATAAATACATACATACACCCATTTCTAGCCATAGGCTATGGGAGAGCACATGGCAATAGGCTCCGGAGACAGCAAAGATATTCTCAGAGATGAAAGCTGATACCTGCGATGTTAGGACATATGCAAAGTCGGACTGACTTGTGTATTGACACATAATGGAAGGACAGAGCACAAGCAGGCTAGGCCCAGACGTGAACATGGTGTCTCCTCTGGCCTTGAGCTAGAAGCTTCACTGGTCGGGGGTTAGGGAGGCCTTGGAATTGCATTTTTTAGTAGAGCGGGGGGGAGGGACTCAACGATTTCAGGCTCGTGGGAGACCCCAGTGAAGTACAGCAACATTTGGCCAGGTAGAAGTGGACACAGATCACAGGGAGCCAGCTTGTCTGGCAGTGACAGAGGCTTGGAGAGCCACAGTGGGAGGCGAGGCGGCACAGTGGACAGCTGAGAGCCCCATCATCTGCTGCTTCACCTTGTCACTCGGGGAGTTGGAAACTAACATTGGGTTTTGCAAAGGAGGCATGAACACCTAACCATTCCAAATAAAAGGAGAAAAAAGGCTGTGGTACTTTTATTTCATAACAGGAACCCTTACTCGACAGAATCACAAAAAAAAAAACAAATGAGAAGTGGGTTTGCTTGGCAGTCTTCAGGCTTCCTCCCTTGGGGAGGGTTTCCAAGCAGTGAATGCAGGAAGGCTGAGCAGAATCTGAAAGGGGCCTTTGAGGACTTGCTTTTCCAAAATGGCACTGGGGACCCCAGAGCAAGCAAGGGTGTCCTACAATAATATCCACTTCCACAGTAATGGAAGAAAAGATGTGCAGCTCCCAGAGGTACCAAAGAGGCCTTGGGTGGGTGCATTTGAGGCAGTGTCACCAAGGATAGCTGGCCTGGCTGGGTCTGTCCTGCACGTAGCCCCAGGCAACAGGGGTCACTTCAGCAAGCCAGTCTCTCTTGGTGCATTTTGAGAATAAGTTTACTCTATGCTCATTCACAGCTGCCGTCAAGGTCATTGACAAATGAAGAAGAAGAATGAGTCTCAGGGCACTTTCCTAGAGCAGCTCTCGCAATCCAAGAATCAGTGTTTTGCTTCCCCTGGTACTTTTATATTACATGAGCAGCCTGACAGCATATTTATTATGCCTTTGCTAAAACCATTGATGAGAAAATATGTTTCCCTTTGGTTTTCATTTAGAAGACAAGGCATCATTTGAATAACTTGTCTAATTTTTTTTCCTACCAAGTAGCATTTCTGTTTTTCCAGATCTTTCCTTAAGGCAGCTCTTTATTCAGCAGGAAATGCCAATGTTGATGTGTTATTGTTAGGTGTTTATATCACTCACAGGGCTGTCAGAAATCCTGATGATCTTGAAGCAAGGTCTCATATGCACTTGGCAAGTGCTTTTGCTGGCATTGGCTTTGGAAATGCTGGTGTTCATCTGTGGTAAGCGAATGTAAGATTTTATTTCTTTACTCAAGTTATTGCTTTAAAATATTTTAATATTTATAATTCAGGATAGGTGGTAAAATTTAAATATGCTGTAGAAGGAAGAAATTTAACTTTAGGTCCCTAAATATTTTCTTAATTCAAATGCAGTTTATTGGGTCATGGATTTTTTTAATAACAGCTTTTTAAAATATAATTCACATACTATACAATTCACACAATTAAAATGTATAGTTCAATGATTTTTAGTATATATACAAAGTTGTATAGACAGGCCACAATCAGTTTTTTAACTTTTTTTTTTGAGACAGAGACTCTGTTACCCAGCCTAGAGTGCAGTGGTGTCATTATAGCTCACTGCAACCTCAAACTCTTGGTCTCAAATAATCCTCCTGCCTCAGCTTCATGAGTAGCTGGGACTACAGGCATGCATCACCATGCCTGGCTAATTTTTCTGTTCTTTGTAGAGAAGAGTTTTCGCTCTTGCTCAGGCTAGAATTTTTTAACATTTTATCATCCCAGAAAGAAATCCCATAGCTCCTAGCTATCACTCACCAGTCCCTCCACCTCCCCCAGTACTAAGCAACTACTGATTTACTTTCTAGCTCTATAGATTTTCCCATTCTGGACATTTCATGTAAATGGAATCATATAATATGTGGATTTTTGTGTCTAGCTTGTTTTTCTTAGCATAAGGTTTCCAAGGTTCATCCACGTATCAGTACTTCATTCCTTTTCACTGCCAAATAGCATTCCATTGTATGGATATACCACATTGTGTTTATCTGTTCATCAGTTGATGGACATTTGGGTTGTTAGGCTTTTTGGCTATTATGAATAATGTTGCTGTGAACATTTGTGTACAGGTATTAATTTCTCTTGTTATATACATAGGAGTGGAGTTGCTGGGTCATGTGGTAATTCTGGTTTAAATTTTGAGAAACTGCCAGATTGTTTTCCACAGCATCTGCACCATTTTACATTCCCACCAGCAGTGGATGCGGGTTCTGCTTTTTCTACATCTTCACCACGTGTTGTGGATTTTTAATACTCAAATGCAGGATTTCTTTCTCCTAATCGCTCACAAAAGAAACGGGATCAGAATGTTTGTCAATAGCCCAGAATTAATCTCTTTGATCAGAACTTCATTGGTATGTTGCTTTAAATTGAAAACCAGTGAACACTGAGAATTAAGAACAATCCTGTGGTAGGAGGAGTACAACGAAATGGTCATCCTAGACTCTGCCGCTGATGGGGGCATAAATTGGTAACACCTTTCCAAAAACCAAGTCAGCAAAATGTACCCGGAGCCAGAAAAATATTTATACCCTTTGGCCCACTAATTCGCTTCTAGGAACCTAGCCTAAAGAAATACCCATGATATGATCAAAGAATTTCCTTGTAAGAATGTTCGCCTAAGTGTTATTTATAATTGAAAAATTGGGAAGCAACTTAAATTTCAACAGTTGGGAATGATTAACTAAAAGTACGGTACTTAAAGAATAAAATAAGTCTGTTAAAAATAATATTTTAGAACATAAAATTATATAAGAACATGTTTACAAATAATACTAATTAACAAAAGCAATGTATAAAACTATATGCACCATATGATTATAAATTAAATATATGCATTAAATGACTAGAAGGAAATAGGATTATGGGTAATTTTTATTTTCTACCAAAAACATAGACAACTATTAAAAGCAATCAACCTAAAATATTAAATATTGCTAGGAAGTTACCTTTGAAAATCGTTTCACATCATGAAAGCACACTAAGCAGTAATTTTCTGAATACTATGGAGCCCAAGAGAAGTGAAGTACATTCCAAAGCACCCAACAACTCAGAGAACCAATAGCTTCCCATCTGCTTCATGCAGGATGGGCAGGGTACACCTTTTGTTGGATAGATAATCATCAAGCTCACTAAAATACTTCTTTCTATGAAATGTGAATCTTATAGATATTCATCAAGCTCACTAAAATACTTCTTTCTATGAAATGTGAATCTTATAGATATTCATCAAGCTCACTAAAATACTTCTTTCCATGAAATGTGAATCTTTTGCTGGATATCCACAAAGTCATCCAATAACCCACATTAAGACTTACAGACCATTTTACTTGTGTGATGCATTTTGTTTTCAATATATTAACTAGTCACAATGTTTATCTTCTGAATCATCTAGCCAACTATAATATTTCCCTATTTGTTCACTGAGAATTTAAGAGGATATAAAGAACTTCAGTGCAAACAAATCCATGATGCCCTTTCTTGGTGAGAACTAAATCTAAATAAATCCTTAAGATAGAATTCAGGCACAAGAAATCAGTCAAATAGAACTGCTTAACAGAGCCTCTCAGGCTAGAATAATCATTTATGACTCAACTCCATTAGTGTAAAACATTTGAAAGGATCTATCTGTTATTGGCGAGACAAATCACTGGTGGGTCAAGCTTGCGTGTCGTCAAATGCAGCACATCTTGGCCTACAAGACTCCCCCCAGTGTCATCAGCTGGTGCAGGAGCACACTGCCAAGGAGGTGCCAAGGCAAAACAAAACACATGCCCAGAGCTTATGACAGAAACTTCGAAGTGAATTCTCCAGTATTCAAGATCATAAGGTTAACCAGCGTGTTTGGGGAGCTATTTCTGGATCAATACCTTTAAATGGCGTACAATTCTCTGAGCATTTGAATTTGAACATTTCAGAGGTTTTGTTAATGTATATACTAAACGTCCTGTGCATCATAATATATCCTTACATCCAAGAATACAGAACATATAACTTTGTGAAGTCACAATACTGTGCAAAGACTGTAACGGGCTCTGTCATGAGATTTTTCTTTGTATTGTTGACTTGAATCTTACTATCTATATGTCAACATAAGGATTTTCTTTCTTTTCTAGCCATGGAATGTCTTACCCAATTTCGGGTTTAGTGAAGACATATAAAGCAAAGGATTACAATGTGGATCACCCACTGGTGGTAAAATAATTAATATTAATAAATTAATTAAATCTTATCTTCTTCACAATTTCCATAAATATATTTGTCGATTCTTGACTGCTCAGAGTACAGGGTAACGTAGCTTAATATAATATCTAGAATATGCAGGGAAACACATTGGTCACCGTGTGTCATTTCTCCCCAGCCCCATGGCCTTTCTGTGGTGCTCACGTCCCCAGCGGTGTTCACTTTCACTGCCCAGATGTTTCCAGAGCGGCACCTGGAGACAGCAGAAATATTAGGTATGGACTATTACTCATAAATCTATGACCCACACAGATGGAGCATTTCTGAAGATACACCGTAAAGGATAATAACAAAAAATGTTGCTTCGGGGTCACTTAATAATAAAATGCCAGTGACTTACCCAAAGCCCTGTCTAGCATGAAAATTCTGTAATTTTATGCTTCTAAGAGTCTGTTCACAATTAAATGGAATCAAATATTGATTCTGTTACATTTGTAATAATATTTTTTCCCCTGTTTTCATCCCAAAGGAAAGTATAACTCTCTATACTTTTAACGTTATAAATGGCTTTTCCTATGTTTAATTGATAATAAAATGACTCAAAATCAGGAAACAACAGTAAATTCTCAATCATAGAGAATCAAAACAACTGGAAACTTTGTAAAAATATCGCAAAAGAGGAATCTGTTTGCCATACTGTAGAATAAATGACGTCTGTAATGGATATCTGCAATGCCTTTTGAATCTTACCAGAAATAAAATGATATTCAGGATAGCTTTCGTGGTAAGTAAAATGTTGGTGTTTTTCTAATACAAAAACTCTTTTAAGTAGACTTGAGGATTTCATTAACTTGCGAAACATCTTATTCCACCGCTTGTGTTTAGTTAGAGTAAGGCTAAAAAGAAAACTTCATTATGCTCTTCTAGCCCAGCCGTTGGAGAGATTATTTCCAGGGAGGTAGGAAGGACCGCAGACATCCTCTTGCCAGTGCGCCCGCCAGTCCCAGGTGCTGTGCAGAGAATGTTAATGACACAAGCCCTGGCCAGGGAAGGTGGGGGTGGTTTCATTTCCTAGCTGGTGCTGCAGGGAAACAGCACCAAACATCTTGTGTCCCTTTTCCTTTTTGGACTGGAGATGTTGTTCAGCCATATGTCGGAACTCAGCTCCCTTTGTAAATACGCAAACCATGTAAATAGAGGGGAGCTAAAATCATAGGTGAGATTATGGTGAATGGGAAAAACTTAGAGAACTTAAAATTAACATTCCAGGCAACCAGCAATGTTATTGAAAAAGTAGATCCTCTGTTAGACAAACTCCAGGCTGGAAGAACCCACCCATTCTCTCTTCTTAAATAGGAAATTGTAATATTATTCCACATTTTTCTATTCAGTATTTTGATTCTCTATGTAATCTTAGATTTTTCTCAGCTTTAGACCAATGTATTCTCTTTCCTACCATCTCTTTTTTTTTCAAAAACACTTCATAGGAAACCACAGAGGTTCTGATGGTGTGTTTTATGGCAGCAATCCCGGGAACATAAAAACCTCATAAACCCTGTATCATGTGTCACCTCTCCACCTAATCCATATTTTAGCAGCCACTGGGTAATACAGACTGGTCTTGTCAGGCAAAGTTTACCTTTCATCCAGCTGCTCTCCCAGCTAGCCATGTATCTTGTTCTATTCATACCTTTTCCTGGATTACTGAAACAGTTCTCTCTGGCATAGAAGAAAAAGCTCAAAACCAATTTAATACTGTGCTTCAATAAGGGGGTGAACTGTACGTTCAGGTCTCCTTTTGAATAATACAAGAGAAAGTGTATGAGGCATTTGGATAGACTTCTTACAATGCTACATTCTGTCTGTAGAGTGCCTCGCTTCTGGGCAGTGAATGTGTTCGACTAGAATAGATAGGGGTTGGGAGATGCTAAGAGTTGTGAAATCTGTTCCCTTCCTCTGGGGACTTTCACAGCCACCCTGCCCGAGGGCAGAACCCCATGCGTGGCTCTTCCACATTGCCATCTCTGTGATTATGTGTATTAATTATTAAAATTGTATCAAAATTCTGCCCTTACAAATCTCCAACCCTTAGCAACCTTCTTGCTGCTTCACTGCTGTCATTATTATCACCTACATATGAAACACTGTTTCCTGACAGTCTTCGTGTTCTTGGTTCTGCCTAACCGGTTCTGTTACATTCATTTATAGGAACTTACCCCTTTGGCAACAGAGTCCAAAGTAAAAAGTTGTATAGCTATAGAGAGGAAATATTTTCTTCCCTGGTCGTATGTAATCCATTTTTTTCAGACTATTTTCTTCCTTTTTGGTGGTATATTTTGGAGTTTTTGTGCTTCTGTATCCTTGTCTCACAAGGTGTTCACAAAGGGTTAGCCTTTTTCTGAGATGCCGCGAGAAAAGACGTTGAACACATACACCTCTAGATGTCAGCAAATTCCAAGCCTTGAAAATTACGTAGGTTGAGTTTTTGTCCTACAGGTATTCATTCCTCCTCATCCAGACACCAGCCTTCTTTCTTGGTCTTCCTTCTGCACCTCTTTTCTTGGCTCTGTTTCTCTTCTTCCCACCACACGAGGGGCTACCATGTTGGAACTGGCAGTCCCTTGGAAATGTGAGTGTCGAGTGGAGTGAGCTCCCGCAGCTGACTGGGGCTGCCCCTGCTTGGTGTTAGGGAGATCTGTTCTGATCAGAATGTGCACACTATGCACTCAGCTGACCTGGTGACTGAACTGTGCCCAGAGCCTGTTTCTTCCTCTCTACAGTCTGCGCTTTATGTCTTCCAGGCGCTGACATCCGCACTGCCAGGACCCAAGATGCCGGGCCTGTGTTGGCAGACACGCTCCGGAAATTCTTATTCGATCTGGATGTTGATGATGGCCTAGCAGCTGTTGGTTACACCAAGGCCGATATCCCCGCATTAGTGAAAGGAACGCTGCCCCAGGTAAGGGACCACGCCTTCCTCACTCCCTGCAGTGAAGCACAGAGCTTCCAGAAAGACATGCCCCACTTGGGACGTGTCAGAGGGGATGAAACCAGGGGTCGTCCAGCAGTTCTCAGGTCTCCTTGACAACACAGCGGTTCTCTTCTTCCTGGCCCTGGGGGAAGGGGCCAAGCCTCTTTGCCTTTATGTTCTTCCACACAACTGTGGCCAAGGTGAGGCTTTCATGGGACACCTGAAAGGATCCTTTATGACAATTCAAGGTAAAAACAACCAAATCAATCTTCAGCTATGGCAAAATTTCCCTTTTCCCCATTTTGTTCTTTTAAGTGTTCCCATAAAAGTATGTGAAGCTGTTCCAAAAGGACCACTAAGATTCTTTTCCATTATAAAAGAATTACAAATTTCTACTACTTTGTGAAGAGTAGGCATGACTTCAAACTAACACTATTACAAAATTGCTTTTCAATGGATGTGGGAGATTCTATATTTTATACATATCTGTGGCACTGTGAGTGGTATTTTATTTGTTAAATGTTGCTAAAGAGTGTAAACTGAGCTGCCATCCTTCCAAACAAAAAAAACAGCTGGAATATCCACTCCCATGGCCTCCTGCTTACACAAGTGGCAGCGCTTTTCCCTCACTCTACCCCAGGGAAGCAAGAGTTCAGACTAGCTGCTTCTTCCACACTTCATCAGTGCTTAGAATGTTGACAGCCTCACCACTCACATGACAATATTTGTCTAGATTAGGTTCACAGACTCATCTGTCCACAGGAGCCAGGTAAGGAACAGCAATGAACAAAGTAATTTAAGGCATTACGGAGTGGTGGGGATTTTGGGGAGCTGGAAAACACATGACCCATCTAATTGGGTGAACCGCAGCTCAGCTACAGTTTATTATCACCAAAGAGAAATTCAGGTCCCAGTGTTGGTAGAACTTCCAACTTCCAAGAAAAATCAGCAATCTGGATGTTTGTGTTGAATTCCTTGGTTTCCAATGCACACATGAAACATTGTCCATGAGCCACCGGTTTCCCTGATTTAGATTCAGGCTCAGTGGGTTCAACTGCATCTAGAAATATAAATTAATGAAAAACACAGGCATCTCCAAGTATAGCAGAGCCCCCTAATTCTAACCCATAAGTCCATGGGACTAATAGCCAAAAAATATGACTCTCTAAGGCCGTCACAGTTATTTTACCCAAACCTACTAGACTATAAGTTTCATGAGGGCAGGAATCTGCTTTGCTCATCCATCCCTCACTGCACCTAGTGCAGGCTAGTAAACGTGCTACATGAACACATACCTGCTGCCCTCTCCGCCCCAGGTGAGCTTAATGGCCGAACAGTGGTAACTTTTTGAGATGTTTCCTTAGACTGACTAGGACTCAACCAAAGACAGGGGAGCCATGAAAGTTCATCCAGGGACACCATACACTGAGTGGTCACCACGATTTTAATGTAGCTTCTGGCTTTATGGCATGGTCCCAGTGATAATGCCCACTCCGCAAGGGCCCCTCCCGAAAGATTCTGCTTGGTTAGCCCAGGAAACTATTCAGGAATATGTGTTTGTCCACCTCCAAGAATGGTATCCATGATTTTCAGATGAACCTGTATGATATTATTGGCTATTTGATTGCTGGTGGCAAGGCAACTTCCAGCTATCAGCATATATTGGCAAGTGTTTTCTGTTCTAATTCTATCTGTGATCAGACATTCACTTTCAAAAGCTATGACAGCAACAGACCCAGACTAACATTTGAGACCCCCCACTAAAATAGCAAGCTAATTAGAGATCATTCTGAATGCCTCAGTGCACATGCCATACTGGGAAACCACAGATAGCAAAACCTTAATTAGACAAAATGAATTTTTTAGTTTCACAAAAGATGAGAGGTAAATGGAATCTTCTGAATATAAGTTGCGTCTTAAAGTTGGAAGCCAAGTTTTCCTCAAACTATATTCATAAAGCAGCACCAAGGTGTATGCTGCCTGTTTTCCTTTGATCATGTTTTCATGATTAGGAGAAACATAGTTAATTTCAATTAACTAGTACTAGTTCCATTTTGGAGTCGATGTGATTGAGATATGTATTATCTTCTTAGATTCATAGGACTTTGGAAAAAATCCTAGAAACAAGCCCATCCATTTTGCAGATGAAGAACTACTAAGAGTGTTTTGTTTTGTTTTGTTTTGTTTTCGTGTTTGGGGTTTTTTGGCAGGAGTGAACATTTTATAGGAATGCTATGGCAACTTCAGAAAAAATTCTGAAGTAGACTAATCACATGCAGTAGATTAATCTTCACTTAATAGTTATTTACAGGATTTAAGGCAATGAGAAGGATATATTGGTTCCTGCAAAGAACATTGCCAGAAAGGTAATTGAATGTAGTTGACATTTGATAAAAGTTCTTTTCTGCTCAGCAATGAAGGATTGGTTTTCTCTGCAAGGAACAACCAGGGTAGTATTCCTGACCAAACACCACAGCCCATACTCGTGGCAGCAAAGAGCAGCCCTGTGTACAGAGGCTTCCAACTGCCCCAGCCAAGCTATAAGGCGAACAGGCAAGAATAAATTAATCTTCCAAGTTGGAGTTCTGAAACCTCTGGAAAGAAACATTTACATTTCAAATCAAAACATTTCATTACTGAGCAGAGCTGTCTACCCAAATGAGCACTTCCACTCCTTGGTAGACAGGCCAGCTGAACTGTTATTTTATGAATGTACTAAAAGTAGAAGTCTGAATTTATTTCAGTGCCCACGTTAATCAGTAGTCCTCCGATTTTATATGTCTGTAAATAATAGCACATCATTGCTTAACACATGTTAATTTCTGAGAGAGTTTGGCTTTCATATGGCATAGCTGATCCGTGTAGGGACACGTCACAAACGTTATGTCCTTGCCCTGTTCAACCAGTCACTGGAGGCCAGAAATGTGAGAGAGAAATTCAGCTCGGGCTGGGCCTCAAGTCTTTCTGGGGGTGCTGAACTACTTCACCAAAGACACACAGGACCATGATAAGGGCCTTGGAGCTCATCAGATAAGACTCTCCTGTTATAAACAGAATAATGTGATGATCCTCCGTGGTCACAGAAAATGCTGAACTTCAATTCTTGACCCTACCACAAACATATGCATATGTAATCGGGAACAAGTCTCTACCTTGCTATAGATTTCTAGAATTACTCAGGGTCTCTAAAAGATCTGCTGGGATGTAAAATTTTGCCTTCGCCTCACCCATACTCATCAGCATTACCCCCCACGTCTCTCCCATCGGTCCACCCATCCTTCTTTCCTTTTTGTTTTTTAAATTTATTTTTTAAATTGTGGCAAAATATCCATAACATAAAATTTACCATTTTAACCATTTTTAAGTGTACGATTCAGTGCCATTAAGTACATTCATAATGTACAACTATCACCACTATCCATTTCCAGAACTTTTTTTATCATCTCAAAACAGAAGCTCTCTATCCATTAAACACTAATTCCTCATTCTCCCCTTCTCCCAGCCCTGGTAACCTCTATTCTACTTTTCTGTCTTTATGAATTTGCCTATCCTAGGTACCTCCTATAAGTGAAATCATACAGTATTTATCTTTTGTGACTGGCTTATTTCAGCTAGCATAATGTCTTCAGGGTTCTGACACCTGTAGCACATGTCAGAATTTCATTCCTTTTTATAGCTGAATAACGTTCCATTTTATGGGCATACCACATTTTATTTATTTGTTTATCTACTGATGGGCACTTGGGTTGTTTCCACCTTTTGGCTGTTATGAATAATGCTGCTATGAACTTTGGTGTACAAGTCCTTGTTTTCAATTCTTTGGGGTATATACCTAGGAATAGAATTCCTGGATTGGGTTGTAATTCTATGTTTGACTTTTTGAGGAACTGCTGCACTGTTTTCTGTAGTGGCTGTGCCATTTCACATTGCCATTAACGATGGACGAGGGTTCTGATTTCCCCACATCTTTACCAACATTTGTTATTTTCCGTTTTTTATAATAGGCCATCCCAATGAGTGTGAAGTGGTATCTTATTGAAGTTTTGATTTGTATTTCTCTAACGCTTAATGATGTTAAGCACCTTTTCATGTGCTTATTGGCGATTTATATATTTTCCATGGAGAAATATCTATTCCTTTGCCCATTTTTGAATTGAGCTGCTTGAGGTTTTTTGTTGTTGAGTTGTAGGAATAATTTTTATATTCTGGATATTAATGCCTTATCAGCTATATGATTTGCAAATATTTTCTCCCATTTTATGAGTTGTCTTTTCACCCTCTTGATAGTGTGCTTTGGCGCATAAAGGTTTTTAATTTTTATTTAGTCCAGTTTATCTTTTTTCTTTTGTTCCCGGTGCTTTTGGTGGTGTATCCAAGAGATCATTGCCACATCTAATGTAAGATTTTCCCCTATGTGTTCTTCTAAGAGTTTTAGGGTTCTCACTCTTACATTTAGGTTTTTGATCCATTTTGAGTTAATATTTCAATACATCCTTCTTTGTTTTCATTCTTCCTTTTACTTGGCAAACAATTATTGAGAGCCTACTGTGTACCATGCATTGTGTGGGATACAGTGAGGAAGAAAATGAAGTCCTTTTTCTCTCTCATGAAGCTTATGTTCTAGTAAGGGCAGACAGACAGTGAACAGCTAGCTATAAATAAGATACAAATGAAGTGATATGAAGGAAAACCTGCGTAATGAGAGAATGATCTTGTGGGGACAGCGCGGAGGGAGACCCCGCGAGGATGGTGAGAGGGACTGTGACTTCCAGGCAGAGCGCGGAGGCCCTGAGGCAGGTCAAGGTCAGGCTGTTCATGGAACTTAAACGGGTCTGTGGGACTAAGGGAGGTGAACCCACGGAGAGGAGTCGGAGCCGGGGTGAGAGCAGGGCCAGAGCAGGGCGGGCGCGGAGGCCGTGGCTTTGCAGCACTCGCGACAAGAAGTTATCCCAGAGCGTCACGCACAGGAAAGGACGATCCGATTTATACTGGAAAAAAAATCACACTGGCCGCCGTGGGGAGAACGACCTCTAGGGGGCGAGAGTAAAGCAAACGCGGAAACGGACCGTTTCGAAGGCGTGTCGAGGAGGGCGGGGGTGGACGGCCTGTCCCGGGCTGAGGTGCCGTGCGGGGTCGGAAGTGCTCGTTTCTTTTATCTTTCCACCTCCGGGACGGGGCTCCCCTCCGAGCTGGGGCTGGCAGACTTGCCACGGGCTGGCCATGCGGAGCAAGGGATGGGGTCGGCGTTCTGTCTCGTACCCGCGAACTCCGAGATGCGACATCCCCCGCCCCGCGGGTAACGTCCATCCCCCGCCGATTGCGTCAGACGCGCGGGACGCAGAGCAGAGCGCGCGCAGCCCGGTCCTCCCAAGCTGCCCTGTTCCACCGGGTCCGCTCCCGAACACGTGCTCCTTCAGAAACACACCCCTAGACCCTTGAAAATGGAACCCCCAAATGGCGAAATCCTCAACTTCATGTAGGCTACAGGGTAGTTATCATCAAGTCTGGTAGTCCCCGCCCCAGAGGGATAAAGGAGCCGCTGACAGGAATGTAAATAACAATAGGATGTGCTGGCTGTCTTCACTGAGTTGGCTCAATGATAATCGTCGGAGAAATTAAGCAAATTTGCTTGGGAAAGTAGAACATTTTAGTTAATAGAAAAAAAGGAGTCACTTGGTCAGGCACGGTGGTTCATGCCTGTAATCCCAGCACTTTGGGAGGCCGAGGTGGGCGGATCACTTGAGCCCAGGAGTTGGAGACCAGCCTGGGTATCATAGCGAGAGCCTGTCTCTACAAAAAAAAATATTTAAAAGTTAGCCAGGCTTGGTGTTCGGTTGGCTGAGGAGGAAAGATCACTTGAGCCCAGGAGTTTGAGGTTACAGTGAGCTATGATCATGCCACTGCATTCCAGACTGTGTGACAGAGCCAGACCCTGTCCCTAAAAGAGAGAGAGAGAGAGGGAGGAGAGGGAGGGAGAGAAAGAAAAAGGAAGAAAAGGAGAGAGAGAAAGAAAAAAGGAGTCACTTGTTGCATGTAGCTTGAAAGTTAATGTTCTGCTAAAGTCCTTTTGAATATATTTTAAATACAAGTTGGAAGTCAAGGACGACCCAGTTCTTTTCCTTGGCAGCACTCGCTGTGCCTGGGACAGAGCTCTCTGTGCACAGAGAACCTGGCAGAAGTTGTTGACTGACCTAGTTTGGTCATTATAAAGAGGTGTTTTCCCCGTAGTTGGTTTGGGTCTATACATTTGGGCAGAAGGCTGTTGCCAGGGCATAAAGCAAGGGGTGATGGCTTTCGAAAGCTTTGTGGGGAAGAGGCATTACTTGATAAACCTCTAAGCTGAAGACCAACTAGTGTAAAGCATACAAAAAATACCACCTTTAAAGTTATGACTGTTATCAAGTCATTGTTTCTTATAACCAAGTTAATTTACATAATTCTATAGCTCTTACAAACTGTCTTTTCAAAGCGCTGGGTAACTCTCTTTTATTTACTGTTTCAGGAAAGGGTCACCAAGCTTGCACCCCGTCCCCAGTCAGAAGAGGATCTGTCTGCTCTGTTTGAAGCTTCAATGAAACTGTATTAATTGTCATTTTAACTGAAAGAATTACCGCTGGCCATCTTAGTTCTGAAAACAAAAGTTGATCTAGTTAGAGCTTTGTCTTTTTATCACCACACAACTTACCTGCTACCAATTTGAATGTGATATAAATGTCTCCTGCAGGATATTCCCTGATGCCTGGAGTCAAGTTACTTCCATAAAACAGGCTGGACAAATGCCCACTATGTCAGACCCCTGGGATAGATTTCAGGTGTTCCTGTGTCTAACCCTACAGAATACTCTGCCCTTCCTCCATGTAGCAAATGGGCAAAAACTCAGCATCCATCAAAAGTGTAAATGTATATGTCCTATGCTGAATAACTAGCTGCATGTCTAGAAATTTATCCTGTAGAAACACTAGCACAAGTATGTAAAGAAATGTGGTAGGGATGTTTCTGGCAGCACTTTTTCTAATAATGAAAAATTTTAAACAACATAGATATTCATTGATATTGATATTCATAAATAAGTAAATCATAATATATTAAACAATGGACTACTATGGTGCTATTAATAGGTGTGAAGTAAATGTGTTGGAAATATGTCTATGATAAACTGGTTAGTTGGCAAAAAAGCAAGTTGCAGAATAATTATATATTAGTACCATCTGGTTTTTACTTTTTCAATTATATATAAACCTAAGTCTACACAGAAATAGAAAAGAAAGATGCACATCAAAATATTAAAAGTTATCACTGAAGAAATGGAATTTGGGGTATAGAGAATTAAGAGAAAATGTTCACTTTATATTTTATACTTTCACTTTTTATTATATACTTTCACTTTTTATTTTATAAACCTGTAGTGTTTGGATTTGTTAGAACAAGCATACATTACTTTTCTAATTTTAAAAAGGGGGAAGGGAAAGAAAGAAAAATATTATTTTAATGTTTTAGGTTAGATTTATTTTATTAAAATACTAGTAACTAATACTTAAAAGGTAAAAATAAATCCAAAGGGATAAATTATTAGAGACCAATCCTCTGGTGAATAAATTGTTCTTTTGAGGAAAAACACTAACATGCTATGTGGCAATTCCCTCTTTGGAAAAATGTTACTGGTGCTTAGAATAAATTAAGTCAAAAGCAAGCATTTTTGTAGTTTATAGATTTCAGCCTCACCAACAGAATCTAAATAGCATGTTAATCTTCCTCCCTGATATTTCCAGACTACAGAAATCTCTAGAGCTCATTTTTCCTCACAAAGGTCAACCCACTGATGTTTGCCTGCTCAAGCGTTGGCAGTATAAATCTCAGTGTACTTGCAGATTTACTCATATTTTAAATCGAATTAAAGTGTTAATCTTATAAATGAGTAATTGTATACATAATTACATCAGGATTTTTAAAAACAGATGAGGAAAGCATTACTGTGCCATTCAACCTTCTGTGGCCCACTTTATCTCTATGAAAGTCTTTATTTTGTTGAGCTTTTAAAATAATGTTTATTGGAGGTTTTCCCTAATTACAAATGGAAAATATATTCAGTACAAAACCTGGTAATACAAAGATAAACACAAAAGAAAATATTTAATAATTGTTCATATTGTACCATCCAAAACATAGCTACTTAAAATTTTTGTATATGTTTCTCGAGTAATTTTGTATGCACTAATATATATTATATAGTTATATATGTGTCTACATTTTCTATTTAGAAATGATATCATTAAGTTGTAATTTTAATTTAAACATTCAAATTATTTATACCAAGTGCCCAAAAGGCAAGCGTAAGACAGTACCGAGAGAATTTCAGCTACACCTTGCAGACCATATCTAGCTAGAATTTCCTCCAGCTTTTTGGGAGAATCATGGAGATTGAGAGCAGAAGCTGTGTGCGAGTGAAGCAGAGAACAGCTAAATGCCGCCAATCTGAGATCCTTCAGGAAACGTTAGTAAAAATTGTTAAAGAATGTCTCAAAATACATTTGGCATAGCAAAACCTTTATATATATATAAATACATATATATATTTGTATGCTTTTTCCCTCACCATAACCACCTCAAAAGCAGTCCAGGTAAGTTAGAGAACTCATAACATATTCTGCAATGTGATAGGACATAATTATTATGGAAGACCAGGGGTTGAGGACCCTGGGTTTTGCTCCAGTCCTGTCTGAGGCTAACATTATTCAACCAAGGCTTCTTCTAGCTTGAAAATGCTATGACTAGATTTTATGTATTACCTAGTCCTTAATGCAAGATTTTCGAATTTGGGAAATTTAAGGTAAAATAATTTGAGAAACAAAAATGCATTCTCTCTTCTTCAATGTTCAATGCCTTTGCTAACAGTAGCCAGACGTCTAAATGTGACTCACCAAGAGAAGTGTTTGATATTCATACTGATGATGACTCTGTAGAGGAAGAATTTAAAGGTCAAGCATGAAGAAACAGATTTAGGAAGGCTTAATGTTTTTTATCTTGATACCCATCATTTTGGCCCTTACAAATAGAGAATATGGAAAAGATGTGTTTTGTGACTTAACCAGCTATTAAATAGAAGCGTGAGATAGGAAATTAGGTCTGTTTCTGTAAATCAAACACTTTCATGTCTCAGAGATAACAATTGAGTGCATTTTCTAATTTCATATTCTATTTTTCTATTGATTTCCTTTAAGAAATATTCTTTGGAGTCGCAGCCCTATTCATATGGATGAATTTATTTGCCAAGTCAAGGAAAATTAATAGAATGGTATTAAAGAGTTTTAAGATATTATTTTCATAAAACCATCATTTATAGTGGCATTTTCTCTTAAAATACATGTACATCCCTAATTTATTGTTTGATACAAAATACTAATTTGTTCCAAGCAGGTCATGTTTCTATGATTTATTGTCAAGTGCCACAGTAAATAGTTGACTCGTTCTGCATGCCTGTCCCCTCTCTCTGCTCAGGAAGGGCTGTGTTGGGCTTGGCATTGTTTGAGTGGCTGCAGACACAGCTGCAGGGTGTTTTCAAGTGGTCAGTGAAGTCAGCTCTTGTAAAATACAGACAAGTACAGTATCAACATAGAGAGAGAGAGAGTAAAAATTGCTTTTCTGGCCTTTTAACCCTGAGAAAGATTAATGGTTGTTTGGATTAGAAACTGTACCCTAATGAGGGGCCGTTGCCTCTGGGGAGTAGGTATAAGAAAGGGGACTGTTCACCTCCGGGTCGACATTGCACAGGCTGCAAGTCTCTGATGACAAGCGACCCCAAGCCAGACAGCTGCCTGGGCTCTGCCAGTAAGTGCCTGGTCCTCTGGGAGCTGTTGAGGGGACCAGGCCATCACCATCACAATGGCCCGGGGGAGGCGATCTCCAGAGCCAAGCACACTTTGAATAGACAGAAATCCGGTTCTTGAAGCCCAGGGTTGAATTACTGGCAGCTGGAGGTGGGAGGGTCTAGTTTCTCCTGCTATTATTCCCCTGTTTTTCCAAACACCCCAATCACTGTCAGAATAAATGCGATCTCCCTACAAATTGCGATAACTGTTGGAGATTTTGTCCCGTGTGAAATCCCTCATGAAGCTACGTGCAGGACAGCTAACTTGAAAGTTACCCCATTTCGTTCACTCTGGCTTTAAGTTTATGGCTTTTTAATTTGAGTGTTTTTAATTGGTTTTCCAATTTATAAAATTGGAAACTGATTAAAATAATCGTGAGAGAAAAGGAAGAAAAGAACTACTCATCACTCTATTACCCAAACACAGCTGTTAACATTTGATATATTTCCTTTCCATCTTTTCCATTTGGGTGGTGTAATGTTCAGCTCTTTTTTTAAAGCATTTTCCATGTTGTCACATAATCTTCATAATCATTATTTTAAAAGGTACACCATAGTTTATCAAATAGGAATTTAATAATTTATCCTTATTGTAAGCCATCAAGATTTCTTCCAAATTTTTTTTCCTACCAATAACTTAGCAATGAATAAATGAATAATGTGTATGTTGCTTTTTTCATATTCCAAATTAATTTCTTAAGTTATAGTCCCCCCAGTTGAATTTTTACATGATAATACAGACATTTTATGGCTCTTGGTTCATATTGTCAAATTACATGTAACTCACTATTGTTTTAAGTGTTGTGTCCCCTTTCCTTAATCTTACTGGTCTTCAAAATAAATACTAGTGCAAAGCAACAAGAAATGGAACAAAGTTCATTCCCATGGATAGACCGGGGCTAGACTACTTGTACAGATCTGCAAAAATCACTGGTGATTTTTCTTTCATGTCAGTATATCTTAACAGTTCATATGAACAAATTCAAATTTTCAAATAACCTTAAGAAACTTGCTTTAGTGTAATATCGTTGTCTCTCAAGTGAAACTATAAATCACCACATCTACTCTTCTTTGTCACTTACTTTTTTTCCCTTCTGGGACCTTCTCTGGCTCCCTAAACCTATAAGCCCTAAACCTTCATGGTCCTCAGTTTTGCTGGCCAAGAAAAAAAACCCAAGAGGGCAACATATAAATGTTCTTTTCTGTAAGGGTGTGCTAGAACCATCCAGGCCTGTGAGCAAAAGGATTGCTACACTATGAGGGAGGTGGGTAAGGCCAAGGAACCACACCACCAAGATCCCTTCCAAGGGTCTGAGTGCTCCTGTGATCAGAAACCTCTGGAAGCTTTGCAGTTGTGCACCTGGGCCCCAGGATGGCTTTGGCAGCATTGCCTGGGGACGAGTGTGAGCTTCATACCATGCATTGCATATTAGAAACAATGTTGGTAAAAGAAACCACTATGTTTTATTTTAGTCAAGCTGGTAGGTATGTTGGGAGCTCTAGTTGTGTTTTTAATTTGTATTTCTCTAATGGCTTGTGATACTGAATATCTTTTCACATGCTAATTTGCCATCTGTAGATCCTGTTCCGTTCAGTGAAATGTCTGTTCATGTCTTTCACCCATTTTTTAATTGAATTGTTTATTTTTTACTGTTGCATTTGGAGGATGCTTTATTTATTCTAGATACAAGTTCTTTGTCAGGTATGTGGTTTGCAAATATTTTCTCCCAATCTGTTGTTTGTCTTTTCATTCTCTTATAGGGTCTTTCACCAAGCAAAAGTTCCTAATTTGATGAGGTCCAATTTATCACTCTTTCCTTTTATGCATCATGCTTTTGGTGTCAAATCAAAGAACTCTGCCTAGCCATAGATCTCTAAGATTGTCTCCTAAGTTTTTCCTAAAAGTTTTCATTTCACGTATAAGTCTGTGATCCATTTTGAGTTAATTTTTGTATAAAGTATAAGACTGAGGCTGAAGTACTGTGTGTGTATGTGAATGCATGCACACACACAAGAAAGAGAGCTTATGGATGTCTCCAGTATCATTTGTTCATTTGTTGAAAAGACAATCTTCCTCCATTGAATTTTTTTTATACCTTTGTCAAAAATCAGCTGGGCATATTCGTGTGGTTCTACTTCTAGGTTTTCTATTCTGTTCCATTGAATCCAT